AACATTAAGTGCAAGGTCCTGCACATGGGTCAGGACAACTCCAGTTATTAATACAGGCTGGGTGATGAAGGCATTGAGAGCGGCTCTGCAGAGGATGATCTAGGGGTACTGGTGATTGAAAAACAGGATGTGACCTGATAATGTGCACTCACAGCCCAGAAAGCCAACCGCATCCTGGGCTGCATCAAAAGAATGCATGACTAGCAGGTCAAGGGAGTTGATTCTGCCCTGCTACTCCACTCTCGTGGTACCCCAACCTGGAGTACTGTGTCCAGCTCTGGGGCCCCCAACAGAAGAAGGACATGGACCTGCTCAAGTGGGTCCAGAGGAGGGCCACAAAAATGATCAGAGGGAAAGAACACCTCTCCTGTGAGGACAGGCTGAGACAGTTGGGGTTTGGCCTGGAGAAGAGAAGGCTCCAGGAAGACCTTATTGCAGCCTTTTAATACTTAAAGGGACTTATAAGAAAGATGGAGACATACTTTTGGTAAGGCCTGTTGTGATAGGACAAGGGGTAAGGGTTTTAAATTAAAAGAGGATAGGATCCACATTAGATACAAGGAAGAAATTTTTTACAATGAGGGTAGTGAAACACAGGTTGTCCAGGGAGGTGGTAGATGCCCCATCCCTGGAAACATTCAAGGTCAGGTTGGACAGGTCTCTGAGCAACCTGATCTAGTTGGAGATGTCCTCTGCTCATTGCAGTGGGGTTGGACTAGCTGGCCTTTAAAGGTCCCTTCCAACCCAAATTATTCTATGGTTCTAAGAAATCATAGCTAATGCTGTGAAGCCAAGTCCTACCCACAGTGATGCAGTATCAAATAGACATACAGCATTTAGACCAGCAAAAACTTCTCTTCCTAGTAAAGGCTGAACATGCAAAGAGCATACAATAAAAGGCAAAACAAAGCTAAAGCAATGTAGGCTCCTTATAAGAGGTGCCTATGCTGTTCAAGTTCATTACTGGAGGTTCCTAGTTCTCCTGTTTTGCTTGCAATGCAGTAATAGCATTATGGGCTTGTTTGTTATTTAGATAGGTTTGCCAATAATTTATGTAAATATGATTCATTCAAATTGCTTATCTAAACATGGGGGTTGGACAAGATGATCTTGAAAGGTCCCTTCCAGCCCAGACCATTCAATGACTCGATGTTCATAAGCCATGTACTTCTGCTTCACTTGTCACAGTGTATAGCCAAGCATCACAGAGTCAACGCTGTGTGACAATTCTCTGATCACAGTTGAAAACAGCCTCTAGCCAAACATAAGTTGGTGAATACAGAATAACAAATGGCTTAAAAGAAAACAGCTTTAACTGGGTAAGACATATGTATATTCAGTATTTGTAAATACCATCACCGAACAAACATTGTATTCGAAAATTCACCTCATGTAAACACCTGGGAACAGCAAATAAGCAATAAGCACTTTCTCGCTGAAATGTTCTGAATGCAAAATGTACAGCAACTTTTCTATCAAATCACATCAGAGGAATAGCACTTAAAGGATGTTGTAACTAGATGCCTTGTGTATGGTTCGGGGACAAACTGAGAACTCCAGTCGTTGATGTGATCAGTTCTTCAGTGATAATGGCAGATTTAGCCAAAACATATGGTGGACTTTGGCCACCAAAGATTTCCAGAACTCAAGTGATCACTGGCAACAGGTGAGGGGAAGTGCAATAGGACTCTTCAGTTTACACTGAAAAAGCTGAAATAATAAACCATGCTTACAAACTCACCATTCTTGTGATCAATGGAAAATCCCTCAGAGGAAGAGAGGATTTTATAGGAAATCATTCCATTACATTCGGAATCCCTATCCACAGCAGAGACTGTCAGGACAGTGGTACCCATGGAAATTAGCTCTGGCAAGGTCACCTGATGTATAAAGCAAAATTGAAGTTTTGATAGAGCTTAATAAAAGATTTTAAACATAAAACCCACATTTTCCTTCATTTGATCTTAGTAAAAACCACACATATTTCCCAGCTTTGGAAAAAGTTTCACCTGCCGGTTTTCTTCTGGGCCAAAACCATAAAAAGTTTAGACATAGAAAATGATGCATACAATATAGCCAAAATTTATAGTAAGTTTTAAACAGCAGTAAAATCCATCTAGTTCTAGTTCATTATGACAATGACTTCAGAGAATCACTGAATCTTTTTTTTCAATAGTAAACTAATGGAAGGAATAACTACAGTGGACTGCAACTAAAACTGGCTTTTCTCCTTGCTTTCAGAAACACCTTAATTTTCATACATGAAATACAGTCTGCAGTCCCCATCTGAAGTATATGACTGACCATTAAAAAAACAACACCAGGTACTCTGAATATTCCAGCACCAGAGCATTTAATCATCACTAGATTATTCACAGAATTTAGTTTTTCAGAATGCTTAATTTTATTTTCATATAATCTAGGAAACCAAGAAAATCCTTTCCCTGAAGAGCTTCTGTTATGTGAAGTTCAGACACAGTACTTTTTTGACCAAAGTCTCCTTCTACCTTATAAATCTGATTTCAAATGAACAGTATGATGCAGCAGCTACTTTTGTCATAACTTCAAGTGTTAGTTTAAGTAATTTAACCAGAGATATTATATGTACATATATGTACGTAATAGCCATACATATATATATATATATATATATATAAAATATATATATAAAATAGAATCACAGAACGGTTTGGGTTGGAAGGGATCTTAAAGATCATCTAGTTCCACCCCCCCTGCCATGGGCAGGGACACCTTCCACTAGCCCAGGTTGCTCAAAGCCCCGTCCAACCTGGCCTTGCCCGCTCCCAGGGAAGGGGTATCCACAGCTTCTCTGGGCAACCTGTTCCAGTGTCTCACCCTTACAGTAATTAATTTCTTCCTTGTATCTAATCTAAATCTACCCTCTCTCAGTTTAAAACTGTTATCCCTTGTCCTATCCCTACATCCCTGATAAAGAGTCCCTCCCCATCTTTCCTGCAGCCCCCTTTAAGTACTGGAAAGCCACTCTCCCTGGAACCTTCTCTTCTCCAGGCTGAACAACCCCAGCTCTCTCAGCCTGTCCTCACAGGGGAGGTGCTCCAGCCCCCTGATCATCTTTGTGGCCTCCTCTGGACCTGCTTGAGCAGGTCCATGTCCTTCCTGTGTTGGGGGCCCCAGAGCTGGACACAGCACTGCAGGTGGGGTCTCAGGAGAGAGGAGTAGAGGGGAAAAATAACCTCTCTTGACTCGCTTGTCATGCTTCTTTTGATGCAGCCCAGGATGTGGTTTGGCTTTCTGGGCTGTGAGCGCACATTGCTGGCTCATAGTCAGTTTTCCATCCACTGATACCCCCAAGTCCTTCTTCACAGGGCTGCTCTCTATCCACTCATCACCCAGCCTGTATTTGTGTTTGGGATTGCCCTGACCCATGTGCAGGACCTTGCACTTGGCCTTGTTGAACTTCATGAGGTTTGCATGGCCCCACCTCTTCAGCCTGTCCAAGTCCCTCTGGATGGCACAGCCCTTCCCTCCAGCATGACACAGCTTGGTGTCACTGGCAAAGTTGCTGAGGGTCCACTCAATCTCACTTTCCATGTTGTCAACAAAGATATTGCACAGCACTGGTCCCAACACCAACCCCTAAGGAACAACACTCATCACTGCTCTCTACTTGGACATTGAGTTTTGATCGGCTCGACAGTTTTATATATGAAACTATATATGAAAAATATAAATACAAAAACACTTGAAGGGACAATAAAAGGGTAAAAATTACAGGATGATGAATAGGGAATTATATATATCATTGTCCAAAAAGCAGCAGTGTATCTTATTGTCCAAGCAACGCATCAAAACATCAGGACTGTGGTGAGAGAAGCTTAGCTGTTTATGTTAACACAGTCAACAGAGCTATGCTGTTTTCCATCAGTTAATAATCCTGCCTGTATTTCTATTCTGACCTACAAAAAAAATTCCTCACACTTGCACAAGCAAGTACTTGCCTAAACTATTCCCCAAAATCAGACACATATGAAGAAAACTTAAGGCAAGGTCTAAAAATCACTTGAGCATTATTAGAGCATTTTTTTTAGAGTTTAGACTTATGACTTTAAGTGGGCAAATCCTGACAACTCAGGCACGTCAAAGCTTTACAGGTGCCTACACTATGTCCCATAGTTATCTCAGGGACTAAACTGCTGTGCCTGCACATGCTCAGAGGTTGAAATTTCTTTACTAAGCCAAATGTTTAGACTTATTTCTTGACTATATCTGTTTGAGATTTATAAATGAAACTTTATTGAATTCAAGTTTTCTGTGTTGCCTCATTTGTGCCACCACACACAAAAAGTACCAAGTCAAGCAAACAGCTCAGTTCACAGGATTTCAAAATGGCTGAGGCTGGCAGGCACCTCCAGAGATCATATTGTCCAACCCTTGGTCAGAGCAGGGTCACCTAGAGCAGGGTGCCCACAAGTGTATGTAATTGAGTTTTCTCATCTCCAGGGATGGAGACTCCACAACCTCTCAGGGCAACCTGTGACAGTAATCAGTCACTGTTAAAGTTAAAAAAAAAAAAAAAAAAAGTTCTTCCTGATATTTAAACAGAATTTCCTGTATTTCAGTCTGTGCCCACTGCCTCTTGTCCTGTCAATGGACACCACACAGAGGAGTCTGGCTCTGTCTTATTTACTCACCCCACTAGTATTTACACACATTGATAAGATCCTCCCTAAGCCTTCCATTTTCAGCCTGAATGATCTATGCTCTAGGCTCTCTTGGGCCTCAGCCCAAGTCTAGCCCCACAGAAGGAAAGCACTACTCTGTCAGCCTCACCTTCCCTGTGGCAGCCTTATTGCAGCCTATCCTCACCTGGAGCTACAGGTTTTGTCTCTCCCATCCCTAAACCTAACTCCAAGCCATTACATGTGCTGAGCCTTAGCCCAAGCCCCACAGCCATAGGGCTGATGCAGTCAGGGAAAAACCCTTTTAGCAGCTTACCCTTGAAAGCCTTGTATGGCATTATGCTCACTTTGGCAACACACACACTAAAATTGGAACAATACCGAGAAGGTTAGCATGGCACAAGGATGACACACAAATTCATGAAGCATTCCCTATTTTTTTAGTGATCTAGGGGTGCTGTGGCTGACAGCAGGCTCAGTATGAGTCAGCAGCATGCCCTGGCAGCCCAGAGGGCAAACCGCATCCCGAGGTGCATCAAACACAGCATAACCAGCCGGGCAGAAGAGGTGATTATCCCACCGTATTCAGCACTGGCACAGCCTCACCTCGAGTACTGTGTGCAGTTCTAGGCCCCACAATTTAAGAAGGTCCAGAGGAGGTCAACAAAGCTGGTGAAAGGGCTAGAAGGCATGTCCTGTGAGGAGCGGGTAAGGACTTTGGACTTGTCTAGTTTGGAGAAGAGGAGGCTGAGGAGCACCTCAGTGCTCTCTACAGCTTCCTGAGGAGGGAAGTGCAGGGGGAGCTGCTGAGATCTTCTCCCTGGTATCCAGTGACAGGACACATGAATGGTTCCGAGCCTTGCCATGGGAGGTTTAAGACTTGGCATTAGGAAGCATTTCTTTATTGAGAGGGTGGTCAAGCACTGGAACAGGCTTCTTAGAGAGGTGGTCCACACCCTAAGACTGTCAGTGTTTAAGAGGCATTTGGACAATGCCCTTAACATGTTTAACCTTTGGTCAGCCCTGAATTGGTCAGGCAGTTGGACTAGATGATCATTGTAGGTCCCTTCCAACTGAAACAGTCTGTTCTATTTTATACTTCCTTTAGAATTCCTTTAATCATCTCAGTGGCCCATAGTTGTCCATAGTTGCTAAAACAGCTTTGTTTTAAACCACTGTTGGACAACATGACTTCTACAACAGTCTAGCAGTTCAAATGCTTGTCCAAAAGTTGAGCTCTGCACCCTCCTCAGTCTAGTAGGGGAAGTTGGGGAGGTAAAAACCCAAATCCCTCACTCCCTAGATGAATGCCATTGCTATAAGGCAATATTACACGTTACAAACTATATGTGTATAACCTACCACAGGGGCATTTGCTACACCTCTATGGAGCTCTTAACTGAAAATTAGGAAATTCATGCCATAGTAATGGGGCCAGAATAAATGCACTGACTTGTTTATTATTCTCTCAGAAGGAGGAAGTTCTGAACATTGGACCCTGCTCTGCAAACTGGTTTGGATTATATCCAGTAACTCCCAGTAATAAATGCATGGTGTATGGAGTACAGCTAGCATTCACACAACTTTCCTTCTGAAGCCAGAAACCACAAACATGAAAACTGAACAATTCCCTCACTCCTTTAGTAGAATTCCTAGGAAGGAGAGGGGGTTTCCCAAAAGAGTTCTCCTCCATTTCTGCTCAGTAATAGTTTGCAGAGACCTTAGTTCTCAGTGCTCAAATGCATTTTTAAGACAAATATAAACAAGCACTCCTACTATTTATCATCATTAATGGAAAGACATCATGTCTGTTGTCCATTTCTCACGTTCCCACCTGATATGAATCCTGAGTAAACACTGGTGGGTTATCATTGATGTCCAAAACAAGGATGGTGAGTTCTGCTTCTGTTTGATGTACAGAATCTGAAACGATGATTCTCAGTTTATACACAGCAGTTTCTTCAAAATCTAATGGTTCTACCACTGTGACTACACCAGTGTGTTGATCGATGGCAAATTTCATTCCAGGACTATCATAAATAAAACCAAAATGAAGTGCTGGCCTGGAGTCTGCATCACTGGCTGACACTTTAGTCACTATAAGACCAGGCAGGGCATCTGAAATAAAAATTTTCAGAATAAGTCATAGCTAAAAGATGATGCTACAATTTCTGAAGATTTTGCCAATTTTGTAATACTGAATCTTAGATATCTTTCTGTATTAGCTTTTGTTGTATTTTGACTTTTTGTTTTAGAACAAGAGAAATATCCAGAATATTGTATTGGAATATGGAATATGTATATGGAAACAGTATTGGATTTTTTCAAATGCATCTGCTTTATCCCAATTTTAATTTGGGTTTTCTTTAGACTTTCCCAGATCCAGTGTAGCCATAACTGTTTATTCCCCAGCAACAGGAGTTTCCATGGTTTTCCACAGGCATTTAGGTGACATGAATTTATTGAAGAGGGTCACAAACCTCCACAAGAATATCTAACTGAGGCATCAGAGTTCCCTGATCTGCGTAGAACCAGTGAATGCAATTCTGAAGCTTTTCCAAAGAAGGCCACTACAGAGAAACGAGACCTCCAGACAGACCTATGTGACACAAAATTCTTAAGAGCTCAATGTGTAGTCCTATGAGATTGAGAAGCTGGATACTGTTTTTGTAATGTGCCGAATTGACCATACCAGGGATTGCAAACTGAACCTATTAGTGATCATCCAACAAAGTCTGGAGCTAACAGAAACTAAACCATGTCCCATTTCCATAACTGGGGCATTAAGCCTCAAAAATGCCATGCAATGTCCTAAAGCAAATGTATTTAAAAGGAATACAAAAACCTAAATAAGTAGCCAGTAGTTAACAGCTGCTATGCATCCATGACTTCCATACTCATCATTACCAGTGAAACTGAAATTTAGGGAAGGCTAGAAAACATCAGTAGAAAGACTGCCTTGCTATCTTTTGTTAACAGGAGTACTAGAATTTCAGCATCTAAATCTTTATAAATTTTCTGCTGTGTATCTTAATGCATCTCATGTGTGATGCCTGTATCTGAAAATGCTGGGCTTAAGACTCGAGGTCTGCAAATGTTGAGCTAATGTCACACAACATATCAGATGTATGCTGGGATGAGTACTCAGGAGGTCCTGGATACTCTTCTTCAGGATCATCAACTGGATCAAGCTATAGGGCATTTAAACACTTCATTCAAATTAAAGAAATTGTTTCCTTCATCACAGTGAAGTTCAGAATGTCTCATTTCTAGCAATGCTTGTTTTAACGCTAAGTATTTTTATTGGAGAAAAGCAGAAATTGAAGACATCTGAAGAATATGACACTGGAGTCCAAAATGAACAGATTACAGATGTATTTCTGTAGAGTTTGTTTTCCTCTTTCTGAATTGCCTATGGTTTTGTTCCAAGCTATTCTTAAACACAATCTTAAAGATTAAGAATAATGCCTCTGAGAGCAAAAGCAGATCACAGTTTACTTTGATATTTCAGTATTAATATAATCCATTATCCTTTTTACCACAGTTGTTTGGTTACACAAATCATCAAAAGCACTATCATTGCCTGACAAATCCCAGTCTTAACGAAATTATCTGCACTATCACACTTACTTTCTGGGACCTTCACTTCACCTAGTGGTTGGATAACTGGAGCATTGTCATTAACATCTAACACTTGTATCCTCACAATACTGGTAGCAGAAAGTCTGGGGTTTCCTTTATCAGCAGCTTGTATAACCAACCTACAATTAAAGGAAATAATAATTGTCACTATTGGCCAGAAATCACTGAATTATCCACCAGTGTTAAAAGCAAGGGAAAAATTACGAATTAAAAGATTAGCCCTTTCTGCTCCTCACTGCAACTCTTAAATTCCATCTTTCTGTAAGGTTGACTGCCTGGAGTTTTATTTTTTATGTACCATTTGACAATGGCAAAGCTCCTACTGATTTTAGCGGGACCACAATCTCACTGTCAGATTAAGAGAGTTTTTGCCTGCACACTTCCATTTTACTCCTGTAAGGATAAGTAGTAGATTCTGTTAACCACCTTTTGATTTCCACAAACAATGTAAAAAACAAAATGGTAATGACCCGATAAACATGGATGAAAGGATGTTTACTCTCTGTGGGAACTAGCTCCTGAACAATAAAGAGCAAATATTTATTGTAAGCAAAGATTATTGGGAAGACTCCACCACTGCCCAGTAATAAAAATTATCCAGAGGGAAAATAAAAAATAAATCTAACTCAAGAAGTGCTCTAAAAAAATGTACCAAAAAAAAAAAAAAAAATCAAGCTGTGCAAAAGGATATACAAGTCAGAGCCTGGCATCTCAATTAAATGTTTTGTGTACTAACAACGCTTTGCATGTTGCATATTTTCTGGGTCCCCCTGCAGATCTTCTGAACATATTATTTCTCCCTCTTTTTTTCTAAGTCACAGTTTCTGTTCAAAGTGTCAAACAGCTATTTCCTAAAAGTTTACATGACAATATGAAATAGCAAGGCTGTAACTCAAGCTGTGGATTGTAGCACTTCCATTCCTGAACCACACCAGCTCTGCTCTGGCTGTCCCTGTGGTTTCTGACGCTGACAGAACACATAACTTGAATTGCAGGCGAGTATTCAATCGGTGACCATGTATAATTCCATATAGAAAGTGTATTTGCTCGAGAATGAATATTGGTAAGGTATACATATGGAAATATTTTACTAAAAATAATCACTTTCTAAGGTTTCAGGAAAAAACTCTCATAAAAACATCTCAGACAAGGCATTAAAATTAAAGTTCTGTCAACACTTTCCTTATAACTCCTATTACAAGGGGCTTAGAACTTCTGTGGATGAAAATGTTCAATTTAGATAAAAAAACCAACTCCTTGCAAATGTGAAAGAACCAATGGTAACATTTTGAAATTAACAGGAAAACAGTTTTGAAAGCTTCTTTTGCTCTTCACTTTTCACTTAACAATGTACAGATTAATGACATATTAATAAAGAGAAGGAATATGAAGATTCAGATTCCTCAAACTGTCAATTTAAAAGGCTAGAATTCCATCATAAATACTGAAATGAATCAGGTTTTCAGTTAAAGACAGATATGAGAATTACTATGTTTACATGTTCAACATTTCATCAAAAGTAAACAACCTTCCTTTGAAGGATTTATTTCAGGCATTCTTTTAAAGCACTAGTTACAAATAAAATGTATAATGCTATTTAACTGACTGAAAATCAGAACTGATGTTTTTCATTCAGTGAAAAACTGAAAAATAAACTCCAAATGAAGTGTTCTGTATATTAAGTTAAAACAAAGTATCTCCTTTAGGGCACTATTATCAAATTACAGCAATATTAAAAAAAAAATCATGTTCTGTTGGTATTTTTGATGTGGTTTTCTAAAAGTTATTCTGGTTCATA